CATGAAGGACAGAGGCCATAACAGGGACCTGAAGCAGTGCCGCGTGAAACTGAAGGAGCTGAGGCAAGCCTACCAGAAAACCAGAGAGGCGAACGGCCGCTCCGGGTCAGAGCCCCAAACATGCCGCTTCTATGATGAGCTGCATGCCATTTTAGGGGGTTCAGCCACCACTACCCCAGCCGTGTTGTTTGACTCCTTCAATGGAGATGGAAGCAACACGGAAGCAGGTTTTGGGGACGAGGAAGATGATGATGAGGCAAGCGGAGAAACCGGTTTTCCCGACAGCCAAGAACTGTTTCTCACCCTGAACCTGGAGCCAGTACCCCCCGAACCCACCCAAGGCTGCCTCCCAGACCCGCCAGGCGGAGAAGGGATCTCTGGTGAGTGTACCTCTTAAAATACTATACATGGTTTAAAAGCAAGCATGTTTAATGATTAATTTGCCCTGGCATTCACGGCTCTTCTGGATGTACTCCCAAAGCCTTTGCAAAAGATTTCTGGGCAGGACAGCCTTATTACATCCACCATGGTAGGACACTTTACCACTCCAGGCCAGAAGCACGTACTCGGGAATCATTGTACAACAAAGCATTGCAGTGTATGTTTGCTGGCGTTCAAACAACATCCATTCTTTATCTCTCTGTGTTATTCTCAGGAGAGTGATATCATTCATGGTCACCTGGTTGACATAGGTTGCTTTTCTTACGGGGACATTTGGAGGTGCCCGTTCCTGCTGGGCTGTTTGCCGGTGGCTGAACAGAAATGTTTCCCGCTGTTAGCCACAGGGGAAGGGGCTAGCCACACACTGGGGGGAGGCAAAATGCGACCTTGGAACGAAAGCACATGTGCTATGTATGTAATGTTAACAGCAAGGTTTACCATGAAAGAGTGTACCCATTGTTCTAGAAAATGTGTCTTTTTAAATACCACTGTCCCTTTTTTTTTTCTCCACCAGCTGCATGTGTTTCAAGGATCACAGGATCTTCTCCTTCCCAGAGGCTAGTGAAGATTAGAAGGCGAAAAAAACGCACTCGCGATGAAATGTTCTCTGAGCTCATGCTGACCTCCCACACTGACAGAGCACAGATGAATGCGTGGAGGCAGACAATGTCAGAGTGCAGGAAAGCACAAAATGACCGGGAGGAGAGGTGGCAGGCTGAAGAGAGGGCTGAAGCTGAAAGGTGGCAGCAGCATGATGAGAGGAGGCAGGATTCAATGCTGAGGCTGCTGGAGGATCAAACTAATATGCTCCAGCATATGACTGAGCTGCAGGAAAAGCAGCTGGAGCACAGACCGCCGCTACAGCCCCTGTGTAACCAACCACCCTCCTCCCCAAGTTCCATAGCCTCCTCACCCAGATGCCCAAGAACGCGGTTGGGGGGCCTCCGGCCACACAGCCACTCCACCCCAGAAGATTTCCCAAGAAACAGAAGGCTGGCATTCAATAAGTTTTAAAGTTTTAAACTTTTAAAGTGCTGTGTGGCCTTGTCCTTCCCTCCTCCACCACCCTCCCAGTGCTTCTCTCCTCCACCACCCCTCCCGGGCTGCCTTGGCAGTTATCCCCCTATTTGTGTGATGAATGAATAAAGAAGGCATGAATGTGAAGCAACAATGACTTTATTGCCTCTGCAAGCGGTGATCGAAGGGAGGAGGGGAGTGTGGTTAGCTTACAGGGAAGTAGGGTGAACCAAGGGGCGGGGGGGGGGGGTCATTAAGCACGCCCTCCTGTGCTCTTCTAACCGCCCTGGTGTCTGGCTGCGCGTAACCAGCAGCCCGGCGATTTGCCTCAACCTCCCACCCCACCATAAACGTCTCTCCTTTACTCTCACAGATATTGTGGAGCACACAGCAAGCAGTAATAACAGTGAGAATATTGGTTTCACTGAGGTCTAACCGAGTCAGTAAATGCGCCAGCGCGCCTTTAAACGTCCAAATGCACATTCTACCACCATTCTGCACTTGCTCAGCCTGTAGTTGAACAGCTCCTGACTACTGTCCAGGCTGCCCGTGTACGGCTTCATGAGCCATGGCATGAAGGGGTAGGCTGGGTCCCCAAGGAGAAATATAGGCATTTCAACATCCCCAATGGTTATTTTCTGGTCTGGGAAGAAAGTCCCTTGCTGCAGCTGTTGAAACAGACCAAAGTTCCTGAAGATGCGAACGTCATGTACCTTTCCCGGCCATCCCACGTTGATGTTGGTGAAACGTCCCTTGTGATCCACCAGTGCTTGCAGCACTATTGAAAAGTACCCCTTGCGGCTTATGTACTCGGCGGCTTGGTGCTCCGATGCCAAGATAGGGATATGGGTTCTGTCTATGGCCCCACCACAGTTAGGGAATCCCATTGCAGCAAAGCCATCCACTATGACCTGCACATTTCCCAGGGTCACTGTCCTTGATATCAGCAGATCTTTGATTGTGTGGGCTACTTGCATCACAGCAGCCCCAACAGTAGATTTGCCCTCTCCAAATTGATTCCCGACTGACAGGTAGCTGTCTGGCATTGCAAGCTTCCACAGGGCTATTGCCACTCGGTTCTCAACTGTGAGGGCTGCTTTCGTCTTGGTATTCTGGCGCTTCAGGGTAGGGGAAAGCAAGTCACAAAGTTCCATGAAAGTGCCCTTACGCATGCAAAAGTTTCGCAGCCATTGGAAATCGTCCCAGACCTGCAACACTATGCGGTCCCACCAGTCTGTGCTTGTTTCCCGGGCCCAGAATCAGCGTTCCACAGCATGAACCTGCCCCATTAGCACCATGATGCCCACATTGCCAGGGCCCGTGCTTTGAGAGAAGTCTGTGTCCATGTCCTCATCACTCTCGTCACCGCGCTGACATCGCCTAGTCACCCGGTTTCGCTTTGCCAGATTCTGGTGCTGCATATACTGCTGGATAATGGGTGTGGTGTTTAATATGCTCCTAATTGACAAAGTGATCTGAGCGGGCTCCATGCTTGCCGTGGTATGGCGTCTGCACGGAAAAAAGGCGTGGAACGATTGTCTGCTGTTGCTCTGACGGGGAGGGGGCAACTGACGACATGGCTTATAGGGTTGGTTTACAGGGAATTAAAATCAACCAAGGGGGTGGCTTTACATCAAGGAGAAACAAAAACAACTGTCACACAGAATGGCCCCCTCAAGGATTGAACTCAAAACCCTGGGTTTAGCAGGGCAGTGCTCAACCCACTAAGGTATCCCTCCCTCTGGTATTTCAGGCAGGACTGAATCTCCATTAAAGTTTTCAAGGTGCCCCGACAGACCTCACCAAAACGATTGTCGGCCACTGATTTCACGGAGGGAGGGGGGAGCAAATGAATACAAAACAAATCTGGTCTATATCTTGTTTTGATCCACTCCATCTATCTTTTACATCTTTAGCTGGCAGCAGACAGTGCAGTAGGACTGCAAGCCATCCACATCTCCTGGTTGCTTGGCAGAAGACGGTGCAATAGTACTGCTAGCCATCCTCATCTCCTGCCTGCTCACCAGAAGATGGTATAATAGGACTGCCTGCAGGACTAAAGACAATGACCTGGTCGAGTCACTCCTAATTTAGTCCCTGCGCTCATGTCTGCCCAGGCACTCCTGACCGACTTTTCCGAGGCGGCCAGGAGCACCTCGGATATGACGATGACGGCTACCAGTCCTATTGCACCATCTGCTGCCACAAGGCAATGGGTTGCTGCTGCTGTGTAGCAATGCAGTACCGCGTCTGCCAGCACCCAGGAGACGTACAGTGACAGTGAGCTGAGCGGGCTCCATGCTTGCCGTGGTATGGCGTCTGCACGGGTAACTCAGGAAAGAAGGCGTGAAACGATTGCTTTCACAGAGGGAGGGAAGGAGGGAGGGCCTGACGACATGTATCCAGAACCACCCGCGACAATGTTTTTTGCCCCATCAAGGCATTGGGATCTCAACCCAGAATTTCAGTGGGCAGCGGAGACTGCGGGAACTGTGGGATAGCTACCCACAGTGCAACGCTCCGGAAGTCGACGCTAGCGTCAGTACTGTGGAAGCACTCCGCCGAGTTAATGCACTCAGAGCATTTTCTGTGGGGGGACACACACTCGAATATATAAAACCAATTTCTAAAAAAACGACTTCTATAAATTCGACCTGATTTTGTAGTGTAGACATACCGTTACAGGGTGTCCCCTGTTTCTCAGCTGCAGTTGCTCCTAGGGACAGGAAAGAGGATTTTGATTTCTGGAACCAGGGGCCTGATCTTAGCAGGAATTTGTTGAGACTTGGAAGGTGAGGAAGTGAGTCTTGGATGCTGTGCTGGAGTTAAAGGCACTGAGAGGATGTTGTTGGCATAAACTGAAGCCCCCTCCTCCCTGGAGAGCCATCAGAAGCTCTCTGAAAGCTGTGAGAAGAGCAGCCTGTAAACATCACACTTTGGAATGACAATAAAATAGCTTCATTCATCCCTGGATCAATCTTTTGTCAGCCTTAATAGGATGGCTGCCAGCTTTAATACCTCCACAGCCCTCCAGAGCCACCTTGGGAGAACTGAAACCTCTCTGGGTGCCAGCCTGCTCAATAATGTGGCACCCACCGGTCAGCTTTCACCCAATCGCAGGGCTGGTGGAGGGAGTGCAGTATGAAGCTAGCGACATTCAGACAGCATCATTCCTCCCTTGGGGGCAAACAGTTGGGGTTTTGTGAATTATGAGGTGTGGAAGTATAGGATTTTCTTACTGCCATTCCTGTGCTGGATACAAAAGCCCCAATGACAAGACCCCTGAATTCAGGGAGAGGATACTAAAGGCAGAGAGAAGCCTGCATTGCCCGTATACATCCTTGGGATCTTTATCATTTTGTCTCCATTGCCTCCTTTCATTGACTCTTTCCCTTATTTCTCTTTCCCATCTCTTTCATTCACTTCTCCCTCTTTTACCCCTTCTGTTCCTGTGGCGAATTTGAAAGTTTGCCTGCACAAGCTATAAGCTGTTCCCTGCCTCTCTGGGCAAACACTGGAGTCCAAGCCCTTCTGCCTCTCTCCAGGTTCTTACACGATGCTTCATGCCTCGAGGGACCTGTATATCGGTGGCTCAAGGCACCAGTGCCAAGACAGGCACCAGCATGGTGAAAGCTGCAGCTTGGGCCACCAACAGAGGGCACCAATGCTGATGCCAGGTAAGAGATGTCTCGGGAAATCCTGGATCCTAACCTGTGAGCATTCTGCCTCCTCTAAAATAGTCTTGCAAGTTTGTGCTTGAATATGCTCATGATTTTGTCAACCCAGGCTGTGTCTGAGTAGATTTCTGTCATGTTCCTCTCCTAGAGACCAAGCAAAAGGCCTCGCTGCAGACTTTGGGGTGACCTTCCTGGTTCTATCCACTCAGCCTGGCACTAGGATGCCCTTTGTAGTGTGGCTTCTAAGACAAAAATGCTGGCCCTAGAGCGGGTTGAATGGGGCTGTTTGAGTGGTTGAATAATGAGCATGTATTTCTCTGTTTCATTCAGTTTTCCCATGTTACCTTCCCTCTGTCCCCAGAATTCTCAGGGTATCGTTGGGGCTGTGTTGAAAATCCTGGGCTGCTTTGAAGCACAGCAAAGATAGTTTTGAGTGAATGAACCCAGGAGAGAGACAAAACCGCTGTCAATGGAAGTGGGGCAGATGATAGTTGGTGGGGAATGTGGCCTTGCTCAGCGCAGGGCCAGTTGATGTGTATGGCCAGCTTAACATGGTGCTGCCATGTCTTTCCTAGCATTGACACTAGTTGCTTCTCAGAAGTTGTGTCACAGACTCAGTGGGCAAACTCATTTGCCCTCAATGTGAAGGAATCATGGCTTGTAGCAGTCCAGTAAGGTGGTAGCCTGAACTTGTTGTGTTGGTCACACTGGTGGCCAGTACCGCTCACCAGATCGCTTGGGAATAGAGTATTTGGGGTTGGTGTTCTAAGCCTCTCGGTGCCTACAAGGAGACCCACTGTGCTTGCAGCCAAGAAGCATAGAGGTGGAGGTGACCATGCCTGCAGGATGTTCTCCCTGGCGTAGCTGTAAAGGGCCACAGCTCTCCTGGTAGGGATCCTCCCCTTCCTCTTACATGTTCCATTTGCAGCAGGACTGCTTTTGTTCCGGCTGTGTGGGCTGCTCTCTAGAATGTACATTAATGTGTTTGCTTTTCTCCCCTTCTCCTGTGAGACTGTGACGCTGTCCCCCCATGCAGCAGATGCCGAGGCTTCTTCCCTCAATTCCAGATGATGCCCCTTCATAGCTCACAACTCCCTTCCTTCCATAATGAGGGCTGCTTCCCTCCATCCTCCATAAATGGTTCCTATGGCAGGGTCCATCTCTCTCTGGAGAACAAAGCACTGTGGGAGGAGTTCTACACACTTGGCACTGAAATGATCATCACCAAATCTGGCAGGTGAGAGCAAACCTGTATCACCAAAAATGTCTGTGGCATGTTACTTTCCACCCTCACTCACCCACCCTAGGTACATCCCACCTTCGGTGCCATCTGCTGTCCAACGCTGAAGCTACTACTTTACCTTTCTGTCTCTCACCTGTTCTCTGGGTCAAGCCAGCCAAGTGCTGTGTCTGCCCACTAGTGACCAGGGTCGCCAGATGAATGTGATGAGTTTGCATATCCAGCATAACACTACAAAGTGTGCTCTGAGTGTGCAAGGTGCACACCACCCTGACCAAAACATTCACTTGAGGGTCAGATGATTCCTGGGCAACAGCTCTACAAGGTGAACTAAAGGAAAAGCCCCATGTTGTGTGATCCAATAAGAGCAGTAATACCCCCGTCATCAGGGATAGTGACCAAGACAGTAGTTGGGATGCACTGCAGAAGCATGGATATTATGCTGGGCCTTTGGTAGCAACCTCACTGTGTTTTTTCAAAGGAGTGGCAAGTACTCCCCCTTTTAAATAGTTTTACAGCTATATGCCCTATGTGAGCTCTCCAGATCCTGATATGGACTGTTGCATATTGTCTGATCTGGGTTTTCGATTTTCATTACACACAGCGGGACAAATTCTGCCCTCTGTTATCACTGGCCCTCAACAGAGGTGGTAAACAGCTTTACGGGGGTTGCATAGGTGTAACTGAAGGGAGAATTTGGCCCCCTGTATTTATCAGTGCAAGAAAGTCAGGACCTTGAGCGCCCAAGGAACTGTAGTTCCTTCAAGTGAGGGCCCTAAACAAGAGCTGGTGCGTCAGATGAGGGCAAACATCAAGCGTACAATGAAATCTTTTTCTGCTCTCTTCCTTCTCCCTCTGTGCAGACGTATGTTCCCATCTTGCAAAGTGATTGTTACCGGCCTGAACCCTCACTCTCTCTACCTGATGCTGGTGGATATTGTACCTTTGGACAACGCTCGGTATAAATGGCACTGTGGCCACTGGGAGCCAGTTGGAAAAGCTGATCCCCATTTCCCCAGTCACTTCTACCTCCATCCAGATTCTCCAGCTCCTGGCAGTCACTGGATGAAAGAACCAGTCTCCTTCCAGAGACTCAAGATCACCAACAATACTCTGGAGCAGTGTGAACATGTAAGGAGAGGCCTGACCATTTCATTTGTACATAGAATAAATGTGTGATGCTACAAACCATTGGTTTATAGGGAGCACTGCACTATGAAGTCATCTAATGCTATGACATGCTGTTCATACACAACAAGGAGAATAATAATTCTTTCATGTGCCCAAAACTGATATTAATATTAATCAGAATTATACCTGATGAAAGGGCCTATTAGAATACCTCACCCATCTCCCTGCCAGGGCAGGTTTGTTCCCTACAGTCCTACTATTGCTGCTTTCTTCAGGCTACTTTTAAAAGTTCCACGCAATGAGGCTTCCACCCCTTCTTTTGGGAGTGTGTTGCACACCTAACACCTGGACGTTTTTTCCTGATGATCATCTTAAATTTTCTCTGTCTCATTTTCATCCCTACTTATGCTGTTAGTTACCTGCCCCCCCTTTGTAGCATCCTAAATTATTCCTCTCCCTCCTTGGTGTTTATATGTACACTGTCACGTCTCTTTCTTATCTCACCCCATAACCATCACTTAACCAAGCTATTAACTATTTTAATCTCTTCTAATAAAATGGCCCTTCCAGCCTCCCTCCAGTTTGGCAATAAATTTCCGATAGTGAAGTGCTCAGAACTGGACCTGAACCTGTTCCTAGAGGTGTGTTCACACCCAAGTCATAGAGGAGGGCTTTGCTACCTCCCTGTTCTGCCATGTGTTACTTTCCAATATGCACCCTGCGGTACATTGGCCTTTACTGTTTCCGTTGTTGGACTAAAAACATCTCATTTGTTGTAGATCCTCTTCCCCCATTGCAATCCCATACCATATGAACTATCTTTCTATACAGTAGCATTTTTCTTATTACCATCTCCACAGCTGTGGAGACAGTTCTACACTAAAGTGAAAAGGAAAGTTTTCACTTCAGTGTATAGCTCTGCGGGAAGTTCCAGAGAGATGGAACAGCACAAGTAGACAAGTTCCACCCCTAATCACCTATGGTGAGTGGGAAGGGCAAGTGGGTCAGGAGTAGGAGGTCCCAATTCAAAGAGATTGGGAGCGGAGGGGGAAGAGAGAGGTTGGAAAGAACCAACAAATGTAAGATCAGGCCCATGGATAGAGCTAAGTTTCAAATGTATTCTAGACTTTTGTTTATTTAAGTCAAACCTTCTAGGCTAAGTGTGGTGTGGCGTGGCATTCACTTCCACTCCCTTTAGAGCAAATGTCATCTGTATTCCACTTACACATGAGCAGTTATTTAAAAGTGGTGGTGTGCAACATGCTACTGCATCTGAAGCCTTTCCAGGTGACTCTTCCAGGAACATTGAGTTCATCACAGTGATGCCATACAGAGTTCAACATTGTTATCAAATCCTCCTGACTTCTTGTTCTCTCTTTGGTTTTAGATTATATTGCATTCAATGCACAAATACCAACCACGATTCCATGTGGTGCTGACCAGCGCACATACACTCACCCTGCCCTGGAATGCTGTGGCCACCTTTGTGTTCCCAGAAACAACTTTTATGGCTGTGACAGCCTATCAGAATTCCAAGGTAGCTTTTCTCTGACTCCTTCCATCTTCTCTGTGACTTTCTGTGAACCTGGGGCAATTCAGGGGTAAATAAAGCTTCCTTCAAGCAAAATGAGTATTAGCACTAAGAGGTGGAAATTAAGGGTATGGTGGCTTTAAGATTAAACTCGATAAGTTTATGGAGGAGATGGTATGATGGGATAACATGGTTTTGGTAATTAAATATTCATGGTAAATAGGCCCAATGGCCTGTGATGGGATATTAGATGGGGTGGGATCTGAGTTACCCAGGAAAGAATTTTCTGTAGTATCTGGCTGGTGAATCTTACCCATATGCTCAGGGTTTAGCTGATTGCCATATTTGGGGTCGGGAAGGAATTTTCCTCCAGGGCAGATTGGAACAGGCCCTGGAGGTTTTTCGCCTTCCTCTGTTGCATGGGGCATGGGTCACATACTGGAGGATTCTCTGCTCCTTGAAGTCTTTAAACCACAATTTGAGGACTTCAGTAGCTCAGACATAGGTGAGAGGTTTTTCGCAGGAGTGGTGGGTGAAATTCTGTGGCCTGCGTTGTGCAGGAGGTCAGACTAGATGATCATAATGGTCCCTTCTGACCTAATTATCTATGAATCTATGAAAGGTTCAGGTACTCTGGTGCTAAAGCTATTAAAAATACACAAAGGTAGCTTATTAGTTAACACCCTGGAGACCTCGGTTCAAATCCTAGCTCTGAGCACAAATTTAAAAGTGTGAGTTTGGTAATGTAGCTAATGACATTTGCCCACATCACAAAAAATACTCCATGATTTTCCATGGTTTTTGCTGAAGAAAGACCCAGTATAGGAATAGCCAAGGGTGCAATAACATCAGGACTGGGGTGTATTGGCAGAGCTATATTGGCAAGCTTGTACAGCACCATAGCTGACTCTAGCATGTACTGTATATTCTTCACCAAATTCACTCTAAATGTAAAAAGAATACAATATATCCCACAAACTTTGCATGTGACATGAACATAATTGTGCCATAACAAGAGAGATTGCTTTTTCCTGGTTAACCTGTAGTTGCAAAAATAAGAAAACCAGTGAAGTTTCTAATGGTCATATGGAAAATTTTCATTCTCTCAGAAACCAGCCTGTTGGTTTTAAGTGAAGGGCTTGGGAAATAGGATCATGTGGGCTATTGCCTTTGAGGGGAGCATTCATTGTTCCCTGATTTCACCAGCTTCGTCTTCCAGGTTTCTGTTGTTTTCCTCTTTCTGGTTTCCTTCCTGTCCTATTTGCTCCTTAAATAACCGCCATTTTTGAATGGTCTCACTCTGAAGCCATTTCACCAATAGACTGGGGAATATCCACATAACTAACATGGCCTTTTTCACTCTCTCCCCTCCCTCATTCTTCCCCCTTTTTCTATTCCTCTCCACTTCTCTTTTTCTCTCATTACCCCTCCTTCCTCTTTCTCATGCTTTCCTCTGTCTTTTCTCTCTTCCTCTCCCTCTATTTCCTTTTTTCTGCATTTTTCTTCCTCCCTTCCTTTCTCTTTGTGTCTCCACCTTCCCATCTCTCTCTCCTTTCTATTTCCTTCTCTCCCTCTGGTATCTCCCCATCACAGGTTACCCAGCTGAAGATTGATAACAATCCATTTGCGAAGGGGTTCCGAGAGAATGGACTCAGCTATAAGAAGAACCGGTAAGAAACCTCCTTCAACAGTTCCTGTTTATGCCACACCACTTAGGCCTTGTCTGTATTACACTTATGGGGGAAGTATCCCACCATTTCACTCCCCCAGCTGCAGCTCCATTAGTGGTAGAGATGGTGGTAGAAGTGGTATAGACAAAACACACAAGCCACCAGCATTTTAAGTACCATGTCAGTCAGCCAGACCTGCTTAAAGCAGGTCTAGAGGACACCACGATAAAAAAAACGGGTGCCTTTTCTCTGCTCGTGCTCCTGCCATTGCTACCACTAGGGCAGTAGTAGTCCACCAGTAGTAGCAAAATAGTGGCGATTCCTCCCAAAAGGCTAGTGCGCTCTCAACTTTGCTATATCCGAGACTGCTTTGGTTCATCTCTTGGTTATTCTAAATCCAGGTGGGATACATCTTATTCAGAGTCACAGAGACTAGCCCACAAAGGCCTTATCTAAACTGGTCTTTAAAGAGAATATGGGAAACATGTTTAAAGAGTTCCCCTTAAACCCAGTCCTGGCATGGTTTTACCAGCCAGTGTGGATAGGGCTTAAATTGTTAGAACCATGATTAAAACCTGTAAAGGTCCAAGCTTGAGCATAATTATAAATATGGTTGTAACCATCCACACTAGCCAGACAAAGCATGTTAAAGACCAGTTCTGATGTAATAATGATCCAACAATACTATCCCACAAGCTCTTCTCTTTCCCGTTTTTTGTTATTCTTCTCTTCCTCCCTATGCCTCTGCTGTTGCCATCTCTGGTATTCATCTGTCTAGAGATTGTGCATGGGCACAAATGTAAAGCATCATGCTTACCAACCAGACACACTAAATAAATAATGACAAACAACCAAATTTGAACATGATTTTTTAAACTCAGTTTCAGCTTCATTATAGTCAGGGCCTTAAGTGTGGATGGAGAATAAACGAGAAGTAATTTGAAAGGGAAGCTTTAACCTGCTAGCTCATTCACTGTCTTCAGCTGTGCACGTGCACTGGAGAAATACACTGGAGTAAGCTCTAGAATCATAGACATCAACAAGCAGCATTCTTCTGTTCACACATCTGTCTGAATATGAGCATTGTGGTATTTGAGGGTGTGTACATGTGTATGTCTGCATAATAAAAAGAAATACGTCTGTGTGTTTAGTAATAATCATGTTGCTGTGTCTATGTATGAGTCCATGCTTGTTGCTAGTATGTCTAAATGCGTGTGCAGAAGTACAAATGGCATCCTTACATATGGGGGAGCTGCAGTGTAGGGTGCGAGTATGTGTGTTCACAGTGGTGCAGGTACAATGTATTTGTCTGAATACCTGGATATGAGCATCTGAATCGATTTTTGTATGCTGTGTGATGGTGAATTTGTTTTTCTCCTTCATTCTAGAGGGAAAAATGTTAGAGGTACTGAAATGGTAAAGCAAGGAAGTGCTGAGGAGACAGGCTGTGACCCCCTCACCGATGAGTCTGTAGCCACACTGCAAGGATACTGGTCTCTCCACTGAGACTGAGCCACGGAGCAGCTCTCTACACAAAGCTTAGTGGTATGGGTGGATAAAGCAAGCAGTTTTTCTTTGCACACCCAAAGCTTGCCCCGCGCTCACTTACGCTGGCTCTTACTATGCCCAGGCTATGATTTTTCATATAATTTACCACAACAAACCACTTCCCTCCAATAATGATAATTATACAGCTGCACACAAGCCATTCCTAGCAGGAACTCCCCACACCCAGTTCCAATTTCAGTCCTCTCCTACCTTCCCATTTGGAATTTTAGCACAGAATTTGAGTGTTTTCATTGATTGCACTTTATAGACATTTGTTTTGTATTTTAAATCTATGTTCGTATTGCAGAAAATATTGCAGCTTTTAAAGTGCTGGTCAGTTAAATACATTTTCTCATCACAGACACACGGGTAGTCTGCACTTTTGTGCTAGTGATTCCTTACGTAAATGTGAGATTGGAATACGGTATATTATTACCAGAAGCACACAAAGTTGGATAAAGTCTAATATTTTTAGTGTAATACATCCATTTCACACCCCTACTGCCCTCAGTCCAATTAGAATTTACCTCTTTTAACGGCCCATACAACTCGCTCACATGCCACCCAGTGATCTATGAAGGAATTGCAACTTATTTATTGTTAATAACGTCCTGCACTTAACTTAAAAACATTTGTCCACTTTAGGAGGGCTAATTTTTAATTTATTGTTTCAAAACACGTCTACCCAAAATGATGCTGTGCTTTTATAATCACAGCAGGGGACATTTTGAGGTTTAAATTTCCCTTTAATCACTAAGGATGTAATAAAAACATGAAAAGTTCTTTGAGCTCCAGAGTGTTAACCAGGGAGAAATTTACTCGGGAGTTTACAAATGTGAGCTGAAGAGACAAACTGGGTAATAAAATGCACAACTAGGGACCAAACCGGCTAAAAGTTGGTCTCTAGCTGCCCATCAGGAGTTGAGACTTGGAGAAAACAGGCTATTCAGCACCTCCAGAGCCATAAGATCCTGGTCATAAACATTTCACAATATACTGGAGTGGGGGGAGGGAGCCTTAGGTCTGCAATTCCTGCCTGGAGTTTGCACCCAGGCCTGTGATCACAAGGATGAGGATCTTTACTAACTAAAGATGGGGTGGGGGGGAACCTATACAAACAAATTGCTTCATGAAAGAGACAGAGCAGCAGTCATTTAAGGCTATGCAAATGCATAGGAATTCATGGGCTGTATGATCCCACAGCCAGACCTCAGGAATCCATGAAATCTGACAGGCTCTACTTTCCATTCCTGGTAACACATAGGGATTCCTGTCTGAATTTCTGTTGCCGATGGAGACATCATTTTTGCTACCAGGGGCTGATCAACTGGTGTGAGAGAAAATACAGCTCAGAATCTCTCCAGCCAACTGAATGGGTTTTTTCTTTCACTATGTATGCGAGACCACTCTGATTGAAGTGTGCTTCCTTTCTACAATGAACTTATCTTATGTCTCTTTTTTACTGGCTTCAGCTTCCCTATAGAATATATGTATCCCATCATAACTTTTGTTCCTAGTTTCAGAACCAGTCATCTAGGATGCACCTTGTAGTCTACTTCTGCATTCAGTTTCTTCTTCTGAAAGATACAGATATATGTCCTGTAACTCAGTCCCTCAGGTTGGATTCTTCTGTGGATTCTGTATACATCCTCCGTCTCCCTGGGTTCACTCTTTCCTCCTGTAGAATGCCTGTATTCTCTCTGGGTATCTAATTATGGCTTCCTTTCTTATACAGTGTATGTATCCTATGGCTGTATAGCTTGGTAGATGCAGTCAGGCCTTGTTCTTTTTTTTTAACTGAGAAAATATAAATTACATATATAAATACACAAAGAGGAAAAATGGAACCCTCTTTTTTATAATAAAAAAATATATTGGGAAAAGAATTCCATCATAACAATAAACTTAGAACAGCAGCCACTTTTATTTAATTCCTGAGGGCTTGTCTACACTGAAAATTTACATTGGCATAGTTACGTCTCTCAGCAGTGTGAAAAATCTACCCACTCCCAGTGTAGACAGTGCTAGGTTGATGGAAAAATTCTTCTGTCAAACTAGCTAGAGCCTCTTGGGGAGGTGGATTAGCTACAGCGATGGGAGAATTCCTCCTGTCACTGTAGTGAGTGTTTGCACTAAAGGCTATAGCCATGCAAGTGCAGCGCTGTAGCGTTTTAAGTGTAGAAATAGCCTGAGTGACAGAGATAATATCACAGGTACCCTCTATCGAAATCCATTGTGTATGACTTCATTCTCGTATTATTCCCTTTTGCTGCGAGACAGCACATTATTGGAGATTAAGAAATTACACCAATGCCCTACAAATGTCAGTTATCCATTGCTTTTTGGGTGATGAGTAGGATCATTAAAGTAATCAAGGAGGGAAGATGGACATAAATTTCTTTTTCGTATTTGGGAAAATTATGTGTGAGTTCTTCCATTTCTTGCATATGCCACACACACTATAACCAGTTTGTGTTAGAGGGTGGCAAGACCAATTTCCATGAAGTATTTCCCAGCTAGACATAACTTTCTAATCAGTTGTATTTTTTTTACTTTTTAATTGTGTATTTCAGTTATCTGTCGCAAGTATTCTATTTTCTGGTTGAAATTTTATGTCTGCTTTATTAATAATCTTCCCAGGTATCTTGATTGTCTTTATCCAAAAATGATGCTATTGTGGGGTAAGTCCATAAAATTATGTTGTAGACAGCACTTCCTAGTCCTTCCAGCAAACTTTCGCTCCATGCCTGCAAAATCTTAAGCATATGCATTAGCGCTGTGCATGTGAGTTGTCCCATCGACTCCTTTATTTTGTTTATTAATGTAATGTTATGAGAGTGTAACCTTGATGGGATATAGTAGAGTCTTATACAGAAACAATTGTATAATGTGAATGTACACCTCTGATGTCAGAAGCTAAACTAATGAATTTGTAAGCTGATTAAATGTTCAAGTTCTGGCTCATTCTGTACTTGTTTGTAAGATAGATCTAATACAGCGTATTTATTTACAAAAATAAAATCAGGATCCTACTTTATCTGAACCCCCCAAAATCCAAAAGATTAGGGTATGTCGTTCTGGGTTTGGCCCTTCTTTTTTTTTTTTTAGAATAGATGGTGAAAACCTAAAAACTGCTTTTGTTTTGCAAAACCATGTCAGTTTGGGTTTTTATTCAGCAAAACCATACCCAGGGCTTGTTTTGATCTGGGTCCTGGTTTAGTTCAACCTCGTATTCAGTGTTTGAGTTACATGTTGTATATACTCTCCATGTTTCTTCTCTTTTCCTTGTGTGTATTTTAATCTACAGCCTTCTCCCTATGAAATGAATGTGTACTGGGTTTGGAGGTGATTGGATTCTTCCTTTGTTGTTGGCTTTTCCTTGTACAATGCCCAGGTGCGCTAATATGCTGGTGCTTTCCCATGCAGTGTGCAAGAAAAGCAGCACTCTGCTGTGTTGTGCTTTGTGGTTACTCTGGTGCTGTGTTGTGAAGCTGTTTTTGCTGTCATGTCCCATCCAAGCTGTAAAGTCCTTTCAAAAAGGTGTTTTTGTGGATTTGAATGGGACGGAGTGCTGAGCAGTGTCTGGGAAACACAATAGGCTGACAGGAAAACAGTGCAGCTAACATCAGGAGTCTGTGAAAACTTGAAAGAGCCTAAGGCCCCAAAATTTTGCATTTGACTCTGGACTGTAGCCTTTGAGCACAAACTCAGCCTGCCCTGTTAAGTGGCCGTTAAGTGTTTCCCTTCTTGTCTCAATGCTAACTAGCTAGTTGGAAGAAGTGAGTGCATATTATAGAGGGGATGGGAGGGGGGATATGAGTAGGGGAAAGAAGGGAAGAGCAGCTTCATTTCTCCAATTCACAAGCATAACTCTTTGGCCAGATAGCTCAATCCACAAACCTGTGAAGAGGCAAAGCCTAAGTTAATACTGTAATATACTATACTACATTTGCATGAGCCCTTTTCACCCCACGGTCCCAAAGTCCACCCCAAACTACACACAGCACCTTTTAAATACAGCCTCCTCTGGAGTGGGAACAGGGGGGTGACCAGGACACAGCACACTGCCTCACAGTTCATGGAGCTGTTACCAACAGGCTATCTCCAACCAGCGTGTTTAACCCTTTCAGCTAGTTTTGTTTTCCCAAAAGTGATTTTGCTTTTTGCGAACACTCGATGGTTTGGGGACCAATGCAATTTGTGGCTTAGCAGACCCACAAACCCCGGCCTGCTGCTGAGCCTCTCTCATGGGTCTGGGCTATGAACATCTGAACGGAATGTTTAACAAGCAACAAACCTAAGTATGACAGCTGATTTCCCGGGAAATAGCAACCAAAATTGTCCACTTAAAAAAATGCAAATACTCATCATCAAACGAAAAGTTTGCATCACCTGAGCTGTAGTAAGCAGCTGTCAAGAAGCCCTTCCTTATGCTACAGCATGAGAGGAAATTGGATTTTTTTGAACCAACATGTGGAAAGTTCTGCTCACTGGGGAGTCTTTCTGAATAATAACAATACTTTACACTTTTCTAGCACTTCATGTGGGGATCTCAAAACACTTTACTGACATCCGTTGATTTTAGCTTCACGTCCTCATGTTTGAGGAAACCAAGCCCTAGAGAGAGCCTAAGTAACTTGCCCAAGGTGAGATTGAGTCAGTGGGAACATCAGGAATAGAATCTCTCAGTCCTCACTCCCAGTTCTCTGCTCAGTCCACTAAATGTATTTCTTGCTGAAGCGTCTGCTCTGCTTAGAGAGCGATTTTTGCATTTTCTTTTTTCTCGGTCCCTTCTGAGATGTTTGAAGTCAGTGTCTAGCCAGGACACTGTTAGTTAGTTAGCTTAGATACTGAAGTGTTCATTAGTGCCATTGTTTGCTGCTCCAGACCTAAAAGGGAGTAATCCTGCCACCTCCTCTAGGGGCAAATGGATTCAGTGTGCTCTGTCTTTGCGGGCATGCTTCTCCTTGCTGGTGGGTCTGTGTGTGCATAATCAGGGCCCTGGGTATCCACCAGCAAGCTGGATCTAAATTTTATGTCAGTGTCTCTGGATTCCATAGCAATCTGGAAATTGTGTGTCTGATTCATTAGAAAAAATGTAATGGAGGATTTTAATGAATAGTCAGGATAGTAGCACAGGCTGTTTATTTTGTATTAAATTCCATTAATTCTAGGCCCTCCCCACATTTTCATTCTTCCAGAGATACATGCATGCAGCGCGAATACTAATATCAAAGGTGGCCAAGAGAGGTGTAGGCAGCTGGGTCTTTTGGCATTTGGGGAAGCATAGGAGGCAGTTTGGGATAAGCACATTAGTCCCTGCTAAAATGATTAATAGTTAAAATGCCAACTTTGCTATTCTTAGGTTTCAGAAGTAACACCCACTGAGATTAATGTATGGCAGTTCATACTGCTCTGAGCCATTGTTTCAGGCTGCTTGCAGACTCAGGAAGACCACGCTGCTTCAGTTACACACAGTTCATGTTTTTAACATTCTCTTAACAACCATGAGGGCTAGAAACAGTCTTTTTTTTAATACAAAAATGAAGGCTCATGTTCCGGCACATAACTCTGCAGCCAGTTCCACAGCCATGAAACTGTGGCATACACCGGGGCCTATATCTAAGGAACCTCTGGCTACCAAGCAGAACTGGAGATGGCAGTGACAAGGTTTAACACATGTGACTTTCAAGGCCACCTCTACCCAAAAGGATCATTACTCCTCATCTGAACGTCTATTGCATCTCAACATTCCTGACAGTAACTTGGAACCTGGCAAGCCTACTGGCACAGAAGATGTTGGGTAGGTGTTTGCGATCTAGGAGCTGCAGCTGAGAAGTGGGGGTGCAGCCCATTCAGCATCTTATAGGATCCAACCCCAACAACTGAGGCTACAGAGTTGCTGACATACTGATCTTTACTGTGACAATACCGCATGTGAGTGGTTCAAAAGAAGTCGTGAATGTGACATGTATGCATGTGGGCCAATTCAGCACAAAGTCCTGCTATGTGTTAGCTACTAAAAGGCAGAGAGAGGGTTGAAATTGTCATTGAAAACTCTTCACATGCTATGAAATTGGCCAGAAAAAGGTGGTTTTGTTAAAAGCACTGAGAGCTCATTGGAGAGACAAAAATAAATGCTGGGTTTGCTCCTCCCCTTCATCCCATATCCAGTGGCATATGCCATATGCCTTCCCCTCCTCATTCCCTTCAGGATGCTGGGGGCAGCTCCTGTTTAGAGTCAGGTACAATATGATCTTTACCTACTGCTGTAAATGTGCTGGGCACAGAGCTGTACACATCACTGACTTTCACCTTTCACTTCCCCACCCCCAGCCATCCCTCTCCTTCCCCCTCATCCCTCCCACCCATCCAATTTGCCCATGAATTGTTAGAGGCCAGCCCTTCACATCTGATTTCTCAGTGAACAGCCTGAGGCACACTGGGGACAGACAGACAGAGGGTAATGTGTTAAATTCCACCTTGGCGGTGGTGAATTTCATGGGTTTTGCTGCTATTAGCCACACTTTCTAGCAATTATAACAAGTTCACTTTTCTTCCCTTTTTAAATCCTCTCTATCTCCTAGAATGGCTGAGAGCGCACTAGCTGTTAACTAGTAATTGGTAATTAATGACTCCACCTCCCCATCAATCAGCTGGGAGGAGATTAAAGGAATGGGCGTTTGCAGAAAATATGTGTTGCCAGAAATACCAATACGGTGCGTCCAGATGAAGCAGACGAGGGAGATAGTGCAATGCCTTTTATTGGTGTATGCAGTAAGTCCTGATACATTGGACAGTCTGGTGGTGCACTTGTCTGAAATCCCCAGTGTAGCTATTGCTGTACAGTTGTTGACTGAGGTCCAGCTCACCACTGGACCCTCTTTTCTCTTTCTTCTCCCATCTTGTGCAGTGATGGCATATCTCAGGCTCTCAGAGCCCAGTCAGTGACTTGGGCTCATGGGGCTTGGGCTGTGGAGCGAAAAATTGCAGTGTAGATGTTTGGGTTCATGCTGGAGTTTGGGCTCTGCGACGCTCCCCCTTCCCAAATTATCAGTGCCCAGGCTCGGGCAGTCTACACTGCAATTGTACAGCCCCACAGCCCGAGCCCCATGAGCCCAAGTCAGCTGATCTGGGCCAGCTGCAGCCATGTCTGTGGGTCTTTTATTGCAGTGTAGACATATCCTCTGGTTACGGCCCTCATATGCCTTTCTATGGCAGAAAAAGTGTCACTAGAAAAACAGGGCTGACAAGGAGGATTCAGTGGCTGCTTCCCCCTTATCAGTGGGGAGAGCAACAAGAGTCATTTTCAGTACTGTTCTGCTTGCTGCTGTGGCACTGGGGCTGGAAGAACTGAAGTCTTCAGATCTTCTTCATGTTCTTTTTAACATACAATTGAGGAGTCTCTGTTGTTCCTTGTCCCAAAGCTGCTTCTATCCAGAGCCTCAGGAGCCACAGTCAGCCTATACAGGGTGAGGGACCCACTCTTGTCATTACCTGTCTATTTGGTTTATTTTCCATGCTCTCATCACCTTTGCCTAGATTTCAGGAGATAATATGCCCTCTTCCCTATGACAGGATGAGAACAAGGGGACCACCGCTTACCAAAGAAATCAGAGCCAATGCAAGTCCCTTATCCTGAACAGCTTTGCAACATCTGTGCCTCTTAGGGCTTGTCTACACCTGCAGCACTGCAGCAGCACAGCTGGAGCTCAGGCGGGAGATCTTCACTTGTGCCGAGAGGCAGTAGCTATGTCTACATGGGACAGGGGGATTAGGTCAGTATAATTACATCACTCAGTTATACCAATAGAAGTTAGTAGTGTAGACCAAGCCTCACTCTAGGAATAGGCCCCAGATCTTGTGCCCCCCCCATCCATTGCCTTTACCCCAAGGTCATCCTTCCTTTTCCCAAAACCGAGTTGACTCTCCTTCCCCATAGGACCTTCTTTCCACTGCCAAACAGTAACCTCCCTTTAAAGGGCTGA